ATGTAAGGCGTGAAATTCTAGTGACATTACATAATATTTTTGAATGTCAGCAGATTTGGGAATCACACCACAGGATAAAAAGACAAACATTTTTCTCCATTGTTCAATAAAGCATAAAGCGAGCGACAGAAGCCCTGTGATTTCCAAATAGCCAACGTGGAGCAGATAGAACAGTTGCGATATCAATCAGATGGTTGTCAGTCACCAAAGGTAGAGGCGTGGTCGCTGAGGCTACAGCAAATCGCAGAGATGAGTAAGGAGATTCCTTGAGAGAAGCTGATATGAAAGAGAATTTACTGTGTTTCAAAGAGAACCTGTGAAGAAGTTTGAGACATGTAAGAAGTTGGGTCAAGTAGAAACATGTTTACGTATTAATGTTACTTTTTATTCTTACTCTTATTATTTCATCCGACAGTTTGAGATAATCAGACAGTTTGAGATAAACAGACAGTTTAAGATGACCAGACAGTTTGAGATGACCAGACAGTTTGAGATGACCAGACAGTCTGAGATGACCAGGCAGTTTCAGCTGACCAAACAGTGCGAGATGACCAAACAATGTGAGGTGACCAGACAGTGTGTGATGACCAGACAGTGTGAGATGACCAGACAGTGTGAGATGACCAGACAGTGTGAGATGACTAGACAGTGTGAGATGACCAGACAGTGAGAGGTGACCAGACAGTGTGAGAGGTCCAGAGAGTGTGAGATGACCAGAGAGTGTGAGATGACCAGACAGTGTGAGATGACCAGACAGTGTGAGACGACCACACAGTGTGAGATGACCAGACAGTGTGAGATGACCAGACAGTGAGAGGTGACCAGACATTGTGAGAGGTCCAGAGAGTGTGAGATGACCAGACAGTGTGAGATGACCAGACCGTGTGAGATGACCAGAGAGTGTGAGATAACCAGTGAGTGTGAGATGACCAGGCGCTGCTGCTGCTGTTGCTGCTTTCCCTGCTGTGGCAGGTGTGACGGGGAACACTGTATGAAAGCTCAGGCTGTGGCTGTGCGGTGTGAGGGCAGGAAACTGATCACTGACTGACTGTACACCATCACAGCTGTTTCCTGACAATTGTGCTCTGAGTTTCCGTCCCACCTGAAGGCCGCCTGAATCCTTCTGTGCGAAGCGTCTTTCCTGATTGCGCTCAGCAAAAAGACTTTACACATAAAAAACAATAACTTGTACAGCATTTTGCTGATAAACTGTGCTTGACAGTTAACTGTTCTAAAACATCTGCAAACGAACATTTCCTTTAAACTCGCAGTCTTGAATTGCAAGTGACGCAAAGAAGCCCAAACCAATATAACAATATAACGAGACTGAGAACTTGCCTGCATTTGTAATAGATGCTAATTTTATTTGTATTATATGTAAGAATACGGCAGAAAATTCAGATGGGTTGACACCGGCTTAACCCTCCAGGGAATGAAAATCCACATCACAAGCTTAGTGAAAGAGTATACACTATTATACTCAGGATAATGAGCCAGTATATCCTTGTTACATTACACCCTGTGATATAAGTGTATTACATGAATATACTATATATTATTAACACAGTTTATTTTTCAGATACACTGACACTTTGATTTTCACAATGAGACTGTCGATAAATACACATTCTTTGGAGTGAACAGCTTTGGGAGCCCACATACGCAGTCATTTTCGGACGATGGGAAAATGGAATAAATGATAATTTGTAAGACATGACTTGAAGGTACATGGAAACAAAGCGGAGAAACGCAGTTAGAGAGAATTACCATGGAAGCCATTGCAGGCCCAGCGGTCTTGGCCATTCCTCATATACAATAGGAAATATTATCAACTACTGAGCGGAAAACACTATCAATAAAAAGAAACGCATCAATGCAAAAAAAAAAATTGAATGACCTTTTTCGAATGCACTAAATTGTTATCCTTTTGAAAATATTATTATATTTGGCCGCTTCCAAATTTTATCAAATGTTACTCTTTCTTCTCCGACACACCACCGAGGCACTGAGACCGCCAACATTGTACTCACAGTCAGCAAATACAAATGTCATTAAAATAAGTGTCTTGTATAACAATCATAAATAAAAATGATAAAAANTAACGCAATTACCTGCCGTTTTTCGCCCACAATATTTACTGTCACTGGTATGCCTTTACAGTACATTCTGTGTTACCTTTTGAGACGCTTCAAATATGCAAAAAGTTGTTATATCAAATCCAACGATTATTATATAACTTTAAATTATATTATACTTCACGTTCCTTCAATGCTGGAAGAGTTTGTCAGTCAGTCGCTCATGGAATCCTTTTCTGCCACATTGTTTGTGAGCCGTTACAGTGATGCATATCTATCTGTCGAGTGAGAATGTCTGATGTGCTTTGATAAGTTTCCTGTAAGTTAGATGCTCTTGTCTATCTTGTTAGCGGAGAAGATTCACTGCATTACTATTCTACTTTGAGCGGATTATTATCCCAGGAAGGGCAATCCGCCAATTAACTGACAAACGAGATCCTACCTGCTGCTCGGTAAATAAGGTCAAGAGCGTGGAAGAAAGAAACTTGCCCAATATTTTGCTCTGCTCGGAATCCAATCTGGGACCTCGCGCTTGTGAGGCAAGTGCTTCAACCACTGAGCTTCAGGAATCCACGGATCTAAAACTGGGACTTTTGTGCTGATCAGAGATTGCCTGTGTGACGGAACACTGGACCAGAGAGAATTACAAATCTAAATAGTGCAATTCCTCGATCAGCAAAGAAGCCGAGATCGTCACATTACTTTTAGACAAGGTGGTGGGTTCAAGTTGGGATCTGACATAACAGCGATGACTGGTTCTCTGTGTAATCAAACCGAGTCCTCTCTCCCGTGTCAGGTGGACTTTAAATAATGTGTGCCACCACTTGTAAAAGGAGAACATTTTTTCCAATTTACTGGGTAATAATCCATGTGTTGATTGGAAAATCATCTTAAGAGAGACAGGTAGCAAAATAAAGAGTGTCTGATCAGAATCCCTATTACAATCTGCTCACAGTTACTGTCAGCTGCCAGGATTCAGAAGTTGATAATCCTTGCAATTGAAGTAATAGCCTCTCACGACTTCGAGGCATCTCAAAGTGCTTCACGGATAATACTATGGCTTTAATTGACTGCATTTTGTTGTAGAAACGAGGCAACACATTGCACTTTGCAAAGTTCAACAAACAATTGTGAGTTCACTGACCAAATTATTATTATTTGTAAAGAGATTAACAACCCAAGAATAGTGACCTGCTAACGGAATTACAACCGGTTTCCTTCTTACCTTGGTAAACAGGTTGGTGGAGTAAGGATATGTGAGTTGGAGAAGTGTACCACTGATATCCCTTCTAATTGAAACTTCACATCACATTTTTTCTTGTCAGTTTTTTGCACTTCAATTTCTTCTTCCCTCGTCCCGAAGGACTGTCCCTGCATTTCACTTGGCTGAGATTCCATCAGCAGCTCTCGCCATTCGGCTTCTCACTCAAGTGATGGTTTCATGACTGGCGTGAACGCATCAATATACACAATAAAACATTCAAACTCATTACATTAGTTAATCACCAATCATTGTTTTGAACTCAGTAAATATGGGGAACAAATATAATAAAGAATACTTCTAGAAGTGTGCTTCGAGCTGAATTTCTATAAGTTTTCCATGAGACCAAAGAAAAATGTTGTCAGCAGAAACCAAAAGAGGCCTCGTCTAAAGCAGTTTAGCAAAGGAGGCTTCGTCTTACGTAGTCCGCTCACAAATGAACGGTCAATTAACTTAACAACATATTCCCTGAAACGCTTACCGACGTCTAGAAGAGTTGAAAAGCGCTACATCAAAAGCAAGGATTATCATTATTATTATTGTAGGAGAAAAGAGAGAAATAGTATGAGTAAGAAAAAGTACATTGGGATTTTTTTAAGATCATAGCCGGTCTTTACCTCAAGTCAAAATAACCGCCTTTGCCACTGATCGCTTAATACAATCAATATCAAATATTTTCCATCACAATCTTAAAAATATGACGGGATCCAACGTCCACAGACATTTGAAAGCGAGATTTCCAGATAAACACGACATTTTTTGCTTTGCTTTTCACTCCTAAATGACCTTGCTGATATTTCAGATTATGCCACTTGTTCGGGATTCTTCCAACATATGAAACAACATAAATTTTTGGCCATAAAATGCACATTCACTCCACTGTGCAATATATTCTCTAAAACACTTTGCGACCTTTTAATTACTGAAGAAGGCACGATATGAATCGCAAGGGTTATAATAATAATAATAATAATAATAATCCTTGCATTTGATATAGCGCTTTTCGCGTCGGGAGGACGTCCCAAAGCGCTTCACAGAATATACTGTAAAGTGAATTGACTGTATATTTGTGGGCAAACGCGGCAGCCAATTGCGCACAGCAATGTCCCACAAACAGTCGTGGATTGAAAATGACCAATTTATTATTGTTTAATAATATTTCATGAATAATGATTATTTTTGTTATAATAAGAGCATATTACACATAATGCACCTATAATATTCCAAATAACATACTAAGTTGCCCGATATTATTTCCGAAAAGTAATACCTAATTTGCTTTTAAAATAATGAATAATTTCTTCTTAAACCATCATCTCAGGGAGCGTGTTCCAAATACTTATTACTAACTGTCTGAAATAGTGTTTCCGCAGATATGCTTTGAATTGACCCCAAAACACACATTCTGACAAATACATGGAATGAAGCAATTGAAGATGATTCAGAGTCAGCGCTATGTCTCATACGATTCAGACATACATTAATATTGATTTGCTGTAAATGCAGAATATACAGTTAATATTATTGATTATTGATCTGTGCAGGTCAGAAGGAATGTGACACGTCACTCCCCTCAGTCCTGGAGCTATTGGTCGATTCTCAAACCCCTGCCCCAGTGGCCCGCGTTAAATAGCGGTCACTGGGGACTGAGTCCATCTGTCCGGCTGATCTCTGGCCCTCGGTTATTCGGCACAAGTTTCAGTTATGACAAGTTCCGAGAAACATGAGGTCCCTGATTTCTCTCAGTCTGCTGCTGGCTGTCTTCTTCTCCTGTAAGTGCTATTATTCTGACATTGTCTCTGTTTCTCTGTCGGTGTTATTTTCTCTGCAGTGTCACAGAGACAGGAGATTTCACCATCATTCACCTTCGGTCCTTTATTCCTTACAGGTGTCCAGGCCGGTGAGGTGCTGACACAGCCGCCGACTCTCACCGGTAAAACCGGCCAGTCCCTGAGACTGACCTGCAGAACCAGCGGATTTAATTACAACAGCTACTACTACTGTATGTACTGGTACCGGCAGCTTCCCGGGAAGCAGCGGGAAAAGCTCCTCACTTCTGACAAACACTCCAGCAACAGTTTCGAGTCCGGGGTTGGAAACCGCGTCACTGTCGTCAGAGAGAATTCCAATAACATCTTCGATCTGATCATCAAAAGCCCGAGAGTGGAGGACACCGCGACCTACTACTGTGCAGCGGAGTCACAATGAGAGGAAACTGGGCTGAACTCCTACAAATACACAGGGGGAGGAAAGGCAGCCCCTCCCATCCTAAACTGACTGATGGACATCCATGTGGTCAATGCTGTATCTGCAGCCAAGTTTAAAGGAAAAGCTGAAAATGGATTTACTCTCACACTAAATCTTCACAGTGAATCGTTGTTTGATTGGGGTGAATGAATTCCTTATTTGTGCTGCATTATTCTGTGATTTCAGATGGTCAGTGACACTGTGCTGTTGAGGCGGGAAGGATTGCGATTGGAGACTGACTATGTTACGGTTCACAATCATCCTTTTGTTACAAAGTGTTGGAAATAATTGCTTTCTGTGTCTGTGGATATCAAAACATTACTCTGTATCCTCTGTGTCATGTCAGAGGAGAATAGTCCTTTCAAGTGAATTTTGTCTGTCAGTGTGGAGCAAACATTGGGGGATCAGTATTTGTATGAGACTGTATCACTGTGTGAACTGTGGGTCACAATGCTACACACAGTTACCTCCTCATACAAAAATCCTAGAGAGAAAAATTGATAATCCCTGTCATCACTACAACATCCACAGCTCCCATATTAGTGCTACCGAACGTAGGTCACTCTCGGAAATAACCTGGTGTTTTAACAATTTAATTAAGGTTAATTTATATTACAGGACGATATTAAACAAGAATGAGTTCTGCTGAGCTGCTTTAACACGAAACCAAATTCTCTGATGAACATAAGAATTTATTTTGACTTAAACATCACACGGGGCCTCACGAGAGAATATGAACTGAGATCCAGTTCTTATCTCAAATTCCAAGTCAATGTTTGTTAGTCCGTCTTGTGCAGGAGTTTTTGTCATGTTGTGTATCACTGTGTATGTACCTGGACCACAGCATTAACTGCCAATACAAAAACCCTTCAACAACAAACCAGCTAATCTCTCTCACTACTCGCTTGTGTAGCACCCACTGAAATTGCGGGGATTTGGTATTTCTAATATGTTGCTACACCCCGAGGATTTCACGAGATTTTAAACGACATAAAACATCGGATTTATTCTTCAATCTGTTGGTGAGAAGAAACCTGGTTTGGCACGAACACAGCAAACTGACAAAGACACAAACATTTAAAAGGTAAACACAGCGCCGGGCAATTGTTTTCAGAACATGACAGACACATATCGTGACCTATGTGTGTGTTGGAGAAACCAACATTTACAGTAATATTGTGTTTGTGTGCTCTGCCCACACAGCAGTTTTTGCAGTGAACAGCCCAACAACAACAGCAACAAGATTCCATTTATAAAGCGCCTTTCACGTCAGGAGGACGTCCCAAGGCGCTGCACAGTTGGGTCATGACCCGAGCAGGGGGGAAATGGTCAGGGGAGGGGAGAGAGCGAGGAGGGTGGAAATGGTCAGGGGAGGGAAGGGAGGGAGCGAGGAGGGGGGAGATAGTCGAGAGGGGAGCTGAAGGCACGGTCAAAGAGAAAGGTTTTGAGACCGGCCTTGAAGGAGGAAAGGGGGGAAGCAAGGCGAAGGCACTGGGGGATGGAGTTCCAGAGCCTGGCGGCTGAGAGGCTGAAGGCCCGACCACCGATGGTAGGGCTGTTGGGGCGGGGGACGTGGAGCAGACCGGAGCCAGAGGAACGGAGGGTACGGGCAGGTAGGTAGGGGGATAGTAGGTTGGAGAGGTAGGAGGGAGCAAGGCCGTGAATGGCCTTGTAGGTGAGGATGAGGATCTTGAAATCAATCCTCTGGGGGATGGGGAGCCAGTGGAGGCGAGCGAGGGTGGGAGTGATGTGGTCCCGAAGCCTAGTGCGGGACAGTACACGAGCTGCAGAGTTCTGAATGACCTGCAGCTTGTGGAGGGAGGTGGCGGGAAGGCCGGCGAGAAGAGAGTTCCCATAGTCCAGCCTTGAGGTGACAAAGGCGTGAACCAGGGTTTCAGCAGCGTGAGGGGTGAGGTAGTGCCGTAATCTGGCGATGTTCCGGAGGTGATGGAAGGCGGTGCCATTTGTGGTGCGGATGTGAGGGAGAAAGGACAGCTCAGGGTCGAACAAAACGCCGAGGTTCCTGATTGGCTTTGCGAGGTGGAGAGTGCAGCCTTGGATGCTGATGGTGTCAGCGCCTGAGGTGCGGAGGCGCTGACGTGAGCCAATCAGGAGGGCCTCGGTTTTTNGCACGTTGAGCTGAAGAAAGTTGTCTCTCGTCCAGGACTCGATGTCGGACAGGCAGCTGTCAGGACATCGGGGGTCGTGGAGTTGAGAGTAGAGGAGGAAAGGTAGAGTTGGGTGTCATCCGCATACATGTGGAAGTTAACCCCATGTCTGCGGATGATGTCACCAAGGGGGAGCATATAGAGGGTGAAGAGGAGGGGACCAAGGACAGAGCCCTGAGGGACACCACGTGAGACAGTGCGGGAGGTGGAGGAGAAGCCATTCGTCGAGACAAAATGAAGACGGTGAGAAAGGTACGACCTAAACCATTCAAGGACAGTGCCTTGAAGGTTGAGGTGGGAGGACAAGCGGTGGAGTAGGATAGCGTGGTCGACCGTATCGAATGCTGCCGATAGGTCGAGGAGGACGAGGAGACAGAGGGAGCCCTGGTCACAGATGGTCAGGATATCATTGGTGACCTTGACCAGGGCAGTTTCTGTGCTATGGGCAGCACGGAAACCTGACTGAAGGGGTTCAAAAAGAGAATGGGTGGAAAGGAAAGAGCGCAGTTGGGAGGCGACAACACTTTCCAAGACTTGGAAGGGTCTTGTGGGAGGGAAGGGGTGGGTGGTGGGTGGAAGTTGGAGGGGAAGTGACCGCGGAGCGGATTCCCTTGGATTCAAGGAATTCCAGCATCTCCTCGCAGTGAAGGTTGGAGGAGATGACCTGCGCGGGGTGGCGGGGGGGACGGAGGAGTCGGGTTGTGGTGGAAAACAGTAGCCTGGGGTTGTTCTTCGCCTCCAGGATTATCCTGGAGTAGAAGGACGACTTGGCCGAGGCTAGAGTGGAGCGGTAAATTTTGAGGAGATCCAGCCAGATTTGTCGGTGGACCGTTAGGCCAGATTTGACACAGGTGCGTTCAGCAGCCCGCACCTGGCTTTTCAGTGAGCGGAGGTGGGTGGTGTACCAGGGGGAGGAGCGGGAGTAGGAGACAGTGCGGTAAGTGAGCCCAGTGACTGTAGCACAGTGCCTGCCGCAGCCTTGACTACTGGGGACAAGGCACAGCGGTGACGGTGACTGACGGTAAGAACAGACACTAACTCACTCACTTCAGTGAACGTGTCTCTTTATATATTCGTTTTGTTCACTTTAACAGCTTGTTAATGTAATTAACTCCGTGTTACCGGCTATTTCACACTTTAATCCACCTTGAAAGTATTTATCTGTTACTGCTTTCAAAAGCAACTGTTCCATTATGGGTTACTCTCTCAATATTTAGGTAATTGTTGGTGATATTTCTGGTGGTTTGTGAAGATGCAGCAGAGGTCAATCTGATGGACTTTCTTATTGCGTTGACTGGCGGCTGCTGGGTTTCGGTGTTTAATTGTGCAAAAGTGTTTGAAACTGTGCCCATGCTTTGGGAATTAGGGCCAGAAATGTGGTGGGATGAGTGATAGGAATGTTATCTGATCGCTTCCAACAGCAGTTGAGAATAACTGTGTGGCGTCCTGTAGCTCAGTGGTTAGAGTATTCGCCTTCCAAGCGAGAGACCTGGGTTCTATTCAAGGAAGGACGAAATCTTGGGAAGGTTTCCATTACAATTCCTGACAATAATCCCTCCAAAAAACAAAACAGTAATATAATAAATTAGTCATTTTCAATCACGACTGTTGGTGGGACACTGCTCTGCGCAATTGGCTGCCGCCTTTCACCCACAAATATGCAATCAATTAACCTTACATTCCATTCTGTGAAGTCCTTTGAGACGTCAAAGAGATGCGAAAAACCCGACATCAAATGCAAGGATTATTATTATTACGTATTTAAATCCATTGTTTAATATAAGGAAATTGGTTGCGATTCAGAATGACTCGTATGCGGAGGGGATGACAGTGAGAATAAAGCGGTTTATATTGCAGGGATGTGATTGAGAATACAGCAGCTCAATCGACACCAATGTTACAGAAATAATAGTGAAGGTCATTATTTTATTATCAGCATTAATGTGTTGCTCACAATCTCATTCCTTCAGCTGCACCACATACATCGGTCTCGATTTTATTCAGCGACACATTAAGCTCAGACTTCATTTCATTTGATTTTAACAGCGATTGAGTGAACAGGACCTCGATTCCTCACAGTGTTCGGAGACACAAGGGGTCGTTGTTGATCTGTAACCATCAACTTCCTTTTTTACAATAAATGTTGCGCAGAAAAACACAGATATGTTCAATAAACACATGGTAAAAGTTTGCACAGCAGGCTGCAATGTAACATATCCAGCTGCAGTGCAAGAGCCTGCTGTTCAAACCTTACCATTTGTTCATTGAGATGTTTAACGCACAGCGACACTGATCAGTGATACCAAACTAATGAATTCAGAGAAGATCATCTCAAACTCCAGAGTCGGCAGAGATGACGGTGAAAGTGGCCGCTTCTCATTTGACTGTAGATATATAATTTAGTTATTCTGTGTAAGTGTTTGTGCTGCAGGGATTTATGACTGTGAGTTAAATTGCATCATATATAATGCTATGTGTGTGATGTGGAAGGATAGTGTGTGAGCTGCTGTGCAGTGAGTGAAACCTTCAGTCTCTCAGAGAGAAAGAGAATATAGAGTAACGTGTGGGTTAATGAACGGAAACACTTTGTGTTTGAGACGTGAGAGATAGGGTTACGATTGACCCTCAGGCTGTGAGGAGACTGTGTTGTGCTGAAGTGTAAATTCCCGCAGAATTATGGATAATCGTCAAATTCGGTTTGATTTCTGAAAGAGGTTGACTCGAGTTCTGAAGAGGAACCGGTACTCTAAATTATAAGTAAATTTAAGATTATTACACACTTCCGCAAAATCTTAAATTAGAGATATAATGATCTCTCGTTGTTTATTAATAGTTGTTTATTGGGATCTCAGATGTGAACAAAATTTATTGATCAATGACGATAAAATGGTCGTGGGTGCAGGAAAGAGGAAACAGATGCACATTTACCAGCAACAGTTTTGCAAAGTATTCTGCGCAGCGCTTTGCGAATTCTCGAAGATGTAATCAGGCGCTAAATGAAAGGCAAATAATATGATTATTTTATTCCGAAATATGAAAGTAAACGTGTTTTGCTGCTGCAATGCAATGCAGCGCCATTGACAACAAATCCCAAGACAGCGACGTCTCTTTTTATTTAAACTTTTCGGTGCAGCTGTGTGACACAATTACTCGTAAATGTGGTTATTTCTGCGTCTGTATTTAGCGCTGTGCAGCAGCTGTTGCAGGTTCCGTAGGTCACATTCACCAATCAGACAGGATTCCCTGTGAGAGACTTGTGTTGAGCACAACACTGATTAGAGTCCTTCATTCCTCATGTGAACACTGAATCTGCCCATTATATGATCTCTGCAGTTGTGTTGACAAAAGATTTAATAGGGACCAAAATTCTTCAACAGTCAAACAAATATTTTCCGCCCTGAAATTATTCGGTCTATTCATCTCACAGTTTAGTCTGTAAAACGCTTTGAGATGTCTCGAAAATGTGATAAGACACTATATCAAATGGATGAACTATTGCACAACAATGTAAGATGATCCACAGGTCTGAATATCATTCGATAGATATTTTTTGGTGAATCCAGTGGACGATTTGGAAATTGAAGCAACATTTGAATTTCAGCTATTTTTTAAAAAATGACACACGACTTTAACTCTTAAAAGAGAGTTAATCGGAATAAGACCAGTGAACATTTTGGCCTGAAACGATTTCAAATTAACATTATAACCACAGTCTGTCGCTCCGTGTTTCAAAACTGAAGCTGGTCAGGAGGTGACTTTGAGTTGCTTCACAGTCGATGCGCAGTCACTGACACCAGGTTCACATACAGATAGCTCTACATTTATATATCTATGTTTATTTATTTATTTATTTATTAATCCATTTATCTATTTATCTATTAATCCATTTATCTATTAATTTATTAATTTATTCATTTGTTCATTTGTTCATTTATGCATTTATGTATTTATGTATTTGTTCATTCATTCATTCATTCATTCATTCATCCATCCGTCCGTCCGTCCGTCCGTCCGTCCGTCTGTCTGTCTGTCTGTCTGTCTGTCTGTCTGTCTGTCTGTCTGTCTGTCTGTCTGTCTGTCTGTCTGTTTGTTTGTTTATTTATTTATTTATTTATTTATGCCAGCGCATAGCCAGGCAGGCAGACAGTCAGGCAGATAAACACACACACAGAGAGGGGGAAAGGAAGTCGATGCTCTGCTGTGTAAATTAGCAATTTCTCTCTCATACAAAAGTCACACTTGAGCCAACATTATTGGGATACTAAATTTAAACTGGCAATTTTTTTAACGTTGGAGCCAATTCAGGAGCTGCTCTACAAAGCGCACCCCTCACCGCGCGCTACAAGTGCACAGTGCAGCTCTGGCCATACAAACGGTGATAAAGATTACAAATATATGAAGGCTACATTTCTCCTTAAACCGTTATGTATGAAAACCTTGGTCTCAGCACAAACTCCAGCTGGGATGCTTTGCTGGAACAAGTACGCACACAGACATGAACACACCAATAAAATAATAATCATTGCATTAGCTACAGTGCCTCTCACGGCGGAGATAGGCCACAAAGCGCATCACAGGATTGAATGTAAAGTGCGTTGACTGAATTTTGTGGCCAAAACGCCAACAGTCCGTTTCGCAAAGCAAATCCCCACAAACAGGCGTAGAGAGTTTGGCCGATTTTATTTGGGGGGATTGTTGACGAGGGCGCGGAAAACAGAAAGAGACGGAAAGACATAGTTAGAGAGAAAGAGAGAGAGAGAAAGTGTATGCGTGAGTGTGTGGGGGGGGGGGGGGGGGAGAGAGAGAGAGACAGAGAGAGTGTGAGAGAGAGAGAAATTGCCATCTGTTTTCCAATACGTCATGGGATCTTCATGCATACACACACACACACACACAAACACACACAAACACACACACACACAAACAGCCATACAGACAGGACCTTAATGGCCTAATGCTGTTGCCTTCATTTCCCGAGAGCTGCTTTTCTCGGAGATAAAGTGCAGATATGAACGGAATAGGAATCATTTCACGCGGTTCAGTTCGAAAGGAGAAGACCTAACGATTCTCCGTGACAAACAGGGAAAGGGGAATTGAAGAGTTGCCAACTCCAAGCTCAGCTTAGAGTTCAATGCAAAGTATCAGATAACACGATTGAGGAGATTGCAATGTTTATTTTTCTAAAGATCAATTTGAACTGGGAAGGTTGAAAGAGATAAGTGATTGAGAGGGAAGTATCCACATCATGGTTGAGATCAATGTCTGTTTTCATATAAATACCAATTACACCTAACGCAATTTTTTTTCAACGTAACATAACTTATTATTCAATGTATTTCAGGGAATGTACAACCGAAACCATTGCCCCCAGTTGTGTTCCTCACACAGCCTTCCCCTGGAGACATCAAAATACACAACCAGGCCACTGCTGTCTGCTCAATAAACAGCTTCCGTCCGGACAAACTCAGTGTGAAATGGCTGAAAGACTGGGAACCCATCACCTCAGGTGTTGTGACCTCTCCCTCGGCTAAAGAGGACAACGGGACATTCAGCAGCAGCAGCCGCCTGACGGTCCCCGCCAGAGAGTGGAGCACTGGCGCGGTTTACACCTGCCAGGTGTCCCATGAACCCACCCAGACCATCATTGTCAAGAACATCACCACCCCAACAGGTAGGAGGAACAGCAGCAGCTGGTACACATGGCAGCAACGTGGCTCTCAGTGTCCTTTGACATTTACACCGGAGGCCTGTAGCTCAGTGGTTAGAGCCCTGGCGTTGCAAGCGACAGACGTGGATTCGTTTCCCAGACAGAGCAAGATGTTGGGCACTTTTTTTACATCACTCGCCTCTGCTTATCCAGCAGTAAGTCGGGACCGGGTTGTCAGTGAGTTGGTGTATCTCCTGGGCGCCAATGGCTGCCTCGTTTCACCCACAGAGAAAAATTAGTTGACACGACAGCATTGCCTGTAAAGCACTTGGAGACGTCCCGAGGAATTGATGAGGCACTATATGGAACGCAGCGATAACTATAATCATTAACTTTAAGGGTAGAACAATCAGCATCGTAGACATGGGCATCTCAGTTTTCTTCTCCAGGATATTTGAACACTGCCATCACAGAAAACCTTCTATGGTCTGATGGTATCACACTCATTTCCCGATTGCTGATTTAGTGGAATATATCAGAAGCAATGAATGAGTAGGTCACATAATTTCAATCTTTCTGAAGGAAAAAAAGATTAGATTATCTTGACTAGGAAGATAGAAAGGTCAATGAGTGAGAAGTGTCCATATTGTGGCTGAGCTCAATGTTTTTTTTCAATATTGGTATAAACTTCACATAGCAATATGTAAGTCCATGGAGCAAAACATGACCTATCGTTTAATCTATTCCAGATAATGTACCTAAGCCATCGCCGCCAGTTGTTATCCTCACACAAACTTCCCCTGAAGACATCACCAGGCACAACCAGGCCACTGCTGTCTGCTTAGCATTTGCTTTTCATCCAGACATACTCCGGGTTAAATGGCTAAGAGACTGGCTGCCCATCACCTCAGGTGTTGTGAGTTCTCCCTCTGTTAAAGAAGACAACGTGACATTCAGCACCAGCAGCCGCCTGACTGTCCCCGCCAGAGAGTGGAGGAGTGGCGCGGTTTATACCTGCCAGGTTTCCCATGAACCCACCCACACCATCATTGTCAAGAACATCACCTCAGGTGGGAAACACGGCAATAGTTGGTACACATGGCAAGAACGTCACTCTCAGTTTCCTTTCAAATGTCCTCTGGTGAGAGCTCTATTGATACATTGCTTTCAGCCCCATTTGGATATTTCAATGGGAACAACACACAAGCGAGCTTATTCCCAGTTTTATTGATCTTTACGGCATGAGGAAATCGGGCCCCAATTCTCACGCAGTATTCAGTGGGTAGCAACAAAGGCCATGTTTCTGATCTGCTGCTCATGAGGAGCTCAGGCATCACTCACAGGTCCACGGGATTGTGGCTGTTATGCTCATATTCCACCCGCTTCCTCAACATCTACTCCCACTGAACTTTCTGATCACAATTTGTATCAACCAGGGCAGATAGACATATAAACACAGAGTCACAGCTCATCCATCATATGTGTTACATCATGAGCGGTTGTCCGTCGGAGGGAATTGGAAATCAATAGGCCAAATATCACGCAATGCTTCAGGCAGCTTGAAAGCTCAACTTTCCAGTAAACTTTTCCATCAACGATTGATAATTGTATTAGGAAACAGCAATCTGTGGTCAGATGAGCCAGAATGTGAGAATGTTCATGGTCGGTCATTGCTTAACTTGACCCAATATGAAATTCTGGAAATGGACTGTTCTTTGTCTTTCTAAGTTTCTTTTACTTTTCTAGAATGCGAGGATCCCTCTGGAGGTGTCAAGATCTATTTCCTGCCACCTGCACAGCGACAGGTTTTGATGGATTCCTCTGTAACGCTAACATGTGTAGTGGTTAATGCACCACTTCACGTCAACGTGACTTGGACACAAGGAAATACACATTTGCAGTCTGGATATGGGAAAACTTCTGCCACTGAGCCTCAGAAAGTGATCAGTAAATTAAACATTTCTGTATTAGACTGGAACAGTGGTAAAGAATACTTCTGTGTAGCCAGCCATGATGATATACCATCTCCCATCAGAGAGAAGACGTTTAAGAAGACAGGTGAGGAGTGAAAAATAATTTACGTGTTTATTATAATTCCAGAATATAGGAAAACCACTGGGTGCAAATAATAAATTGCTTTCGAGAGATTTCAATCAACATCCGTGTTCCCATTCGCACCTGCAATTACAAACAGCTGAACGCAGTCTGAACAGAAAAACACATCAATCTCAGCTTATTCTGCAGTCTCTTATGCTTTAAAGTTTTCTCTGATTGACCACTTTCAGTGTATTGACTCGATTGTGTTCTTCCAACAGTGGAGCACGTGAAACAACCTTCAGTGTATCTCCTCCTCCCGTCGGCAGAAGAATTGTCTGCTCAGCAGTCTGTCACCCTCACCTGCCTGGTGAAGGACTTCGCTCCCAAAGAGATCTTTGTGCAGTGGACTGAGAATGACCAGGTGATTGATTACAGTAACTACAAGAACACTGATGTGATGGCAGACAGTGCAGAGCGCAACTACTCCATGTACAGCATGTTGTCCATCTCAGCCGGAGACTGGGACAGAGGATACTCCTACTCCTGTGTGGTCGGACATGAAACTTTCCCAATGAAGACTCTGACCAGATCCGTTAATAAATCCAGCGGTAAACCGTGTTTTGTAAATATTTCCCTTGTCCTGATGGACACCGTGAATGCCTGTCAGTGAGTGTCCCTCAATACCATGTTGCCTATTTTCTTATGCACCCGCCTCCCTCCCATTGCATTGACTGTTTGTTTGCATGAACAAGTAACACAAATAAAGATTATAGTTGCATTGATGTGTCAGGTACAGAGAGGATGATTTGCAATTAATTTCACTGTCAACTTCCAAAGCAAGGACAAGTACATCCATTTTTGATGGGATGTTAGCATCAAGTTAATAGGACAGTCAGGTTGGTTTGTACACTCTTAATCATGGTGATGGGTTTGCAGGTGTCAGGCACCCGTGTGACCCAAAAAAAGTTAATAGTCCGAAATTATTCTACTTTACTTGCTACAGCCCAACTCAGACTGGATTTTATTTGCAGTTTGATTCAGAATCTAACAGTGAAGCTACACCTGTTCCTTTTCAACATATTTTCTTTCCCACCGAATAGCATCGCATTCCACGTGTAATAACATCGCGGACGTAAACTCCGGCTTTTTATTGCTACATTTCCATTAAAAGTATATACTTCTCACACTGAAACTGATCCGAATACAGGAAAATGTTCATTTAAACATAAGCTTAGCCATACATGGACATTGTAACCAAATGCATTCATTCAAACTCACATCCACACATACTCACATACAACATCATATCCATCCAGGCCCACACACACTCACGTGTCCACCCATGTTCACAAACACACACATATACACACACAGAGACACAGACACACAAACTCACATCCTCCCAGGGGCCACACACACATACACTCACACATCCCCGCAGGTCCACACATGCAGACACTTGCAGACGCAAACTCACGTCCACCCAGTCCCACACACACTCACACACACTCACACATCCACCCTGGCTCACACAAACTCACTTATATCCACATCCAAACAATCCCTACACATTTTCGCACACACACTTAATGGGCCGACACATTCACACTGATTTCCTTTAAGGCCCACAGATACTCACACACACCCACTTCCATCCAGGCCCCCGTAAGCTCACACTCACCCAGGCCCACGCACACTTAAACACACTCACATACCCATATTTACAATTAATTACACAGACAACTTGACACATTTACATCCACCAAGGCAGACACTCACACACGCTTACATCAACCCATGTCGCCACACAAATACATACATGCAGGAACACGCACATATACACATATATACACATCCACGAATGACCACACACACAGACTCACACTCACCCAAGCCAATACAAAATCAATAGCGCTATGGATGAACCTTTTTAAATTTAATCCTCATTTACTTTAGTTAATTTACAGAGACGTTTGTGCCGGTTCCTACAATAATATTAACGATTGTGAAATCGACATGGCTATCCATGATAAAAGAGATGATGGTCTAATAGGGTTGTTAGACACAGTCAGGAATAACTTTGGCAATTGTATAAGATTACAGACCCCTTAGCTGAGTTGGCCGAAAAGTGGAATTGCAGTTCAATATCAGTAACTGCTTCTGTTATAAGTGACGAGTGGAAAACCTGGAGTAATAGTCGATGGGAGCGCATATCAAATGGAGTAAAAATGGACCCTGTGTTTTTTGTTGGGCAATCGACTGTTAATTAAATATAAATTTACCAGGATTATGGGTGGTGTACAGTGTGCGGTTCTGGGCATTTTATTAAACAAAGGAAATAAGAGCTCCTGAGAGGGTTTTGGGAAGTTTCACAAAGGTCAATAGAGATGGTACCTGTGACTGACGTTACTGTGTTGAGGAATAGCTTCACATAGCGCGGCTGCTCTCGAAAGGAAAGAGCAGGTAAATCAGAAAGGGAAGATCAGCAAATACAAGTTTTCAAATGTATTTAAGTTTTGAAAGGCTGATACAGTGAAAAGCGATAGTATCCATAAAAATGGGTATAAGAGGTCCAGTAAAATCACTGTAAAATATAATGGCAAAGTCGATTTTTATATCGAGAATTGTTTAGAATAGAGAAACCTTCACCTCAGCATTATAATGTAAAGGAATTTCAAATATATTTGAACAGAGACGATGTGAACTTGCAATAGAGCAGAAAGAAAGGTGGAATTGAAGGATTGGAGTAGATCTGTCCTTTTACTACCAACAGAGTCTCAATGGGAGAACTTCCTTCTTTCTGCATTTCCACAAATTGAGCTTTCCCAAAGTGTTCCTCAAATTCTTCCGCGGAATCTATATTGAGAGGAATATACGATAAAATAATGTTTTTCTTCATTTGCCTTTGAATTAAAAGTTTGGAAGAAATGGTATGAAGTTCAGTGTTGTTTAATAGACGGAGAGAGCCCTTAATTATCTCGGAATCTCTAAATACGTTAATAATATAACAGGAAAAATAAGAAATGTCTGAGGTGTCAATGCGCTCTGAAGATTTTTCCCTTTTTATAACCTCACAGATTTGCCAAACGAGATGATGCTGGAAGGATTTCAAGAAGTTCAGTGTGACAACCTCTGGCCTACTGCTTCCACCTTCATCATCCTCTTCTTCCTTAACATTTTCTACAGCGCTACCGTAACTCTTTTTAAGGTGAGGAGAGTAAATGCATTGAGGCCACGATGTCGTGCAACAGCTGCTGTTAAATATTCGGTGCATGGAAAGGCTAATAGTGAAGCTCATTGCAACCACTCTGTTGGCAAACTCAAACTCTACCTACAGGCCAAGATTCTTGTGACTGGGCTGTGTATAGGGTGATCCTAATATCCCATCTCCCTTGCACACCCTATCACACCTGGCATATGCTCACCTGCTATAGACACAGGCAAGGTGCAAGGATTACTGTCTGTGTCAGCCCCAGCAGACAAATACAAATTCACACAGAATCAGTTGGACCCTTGTGTATCCGTGTGTGTGCATAATAATGATAATAATAATACTCCTTGCATTTGATATAGCTCTTTTCACTTCGGGAGGACGTCACCAAGCGCTTCACAGAACATACTGTAATGTGAATTGAGTGTATATTTGTGGGCGAACGCGGCAGCCGATTGCGCACAGCAATGTCACACAAACAGTCATGGATTCAAGATGATCAATATTTTTTTGTTTGTTTTTTTGAGGGATTATTATGAGGCGTATGTTTGTATGTTTGTGTGGGTTTACCTGTTTGGATTGATATACACTTATAAACATAACCTTAAATATCATGACATCTTTATTTTTATTTTCCAGGTAAAATGAATTCATTAAGATCAGCTTCAACGATGTGTCCCGTCCGTTTGTGCTTAACAACAAGCGTTGTGTGAAAGATTACGCGCTGCTTTTTTCACTCATTGTACAAATCACTTAAATTAAACATTGTATTGTGCAACTACTTGAATTTTAGTGGCTTTTGTTATTGTTAGTTTATTTTACAAATGTGCCTTTAGGTAACAATAACTGAAGTTGTTACTGTTACGCCTCTCTGATATTCTCTATTTGCTGTTTCCCATTTTTTCGTGTAAAGAAACAGAAAGTTAGTGGCTGAGATAATTTGTCCTCTTATTTTAATCTGAAGCTGAATTTTTGATTCTGCTCCGGTTTCATATTATCTCCAGATTCTGTCTGTTGTTTGCCAGAAGCATCAATAAAAATATTACAAATTCAATGATCTGTTTGTTTCCTCTTTCCTGTTCCTTTTGTGTCAATTGTGCCTTGCCGTTGCTTTCCAAATTATTCTGATTCCCAGTAACTCAGCATTAAACAAAAGCTGTTGAATTTAATGTCAAACTTCAGTTGCAGCTTTGCTGAGAACACTAAAGGCGATGATAGTTCCGCTTGAGATGGTTCTTCGCTCCAGTGAACAGCAGCTTTTTCCTTCCCATATTGATCAGCCCCTCACCAAGATACAGCTTCAGACACATGACTATTCCAATATAGTAACATGCAGCTCTGTGTTAGAGTATTTATAGCACAATGTGAGAGCGCAATCTGTTTTATACATTGACAGAGCTTTATCTCCTGCCTGTGCTGAGCTGGACAATCTGACCAGGGCAGCACCTCAATTGGAGACCATAAAGCCCAAATTCCTGCTGCGACGTTGGCCCATACACCTCTTCACAGGTCATACTGTGAAAATCATGGGGACGTCCTGCTGGTGTGAGAGACACTGAACCAAACACAGTGATACTTATCATTGTTATTGATAACGACATAAACCTCACGGGCTGCAATACAATAGTATTTTGGATCTAATAGGCCTAAACATTCCCACTGAAGACCCTGACCAGAAAGGTTAATAAATCTCGCGGAAAATCGAGTGTTGTAAACATTTCCCTTGTCCTGAAGGACACCGTCAATGCCTGTCAATGAGTGTCTCTCAATACCATTTTTCTTTATCTTTTAGGCATGCACCTCCCTAACATTGCATTGACTGTTTGGTTTCATGACAAAGTAACTCATATAGAGATTACAGTTGCACTGATGAGTCAGCTACAGCGGGCATGATTTACAAATAATTACACCGACAACTTCTATAATAAGGAGAGATACAACCTTTCTTTCAGGCGATTTGAACATCAATTTAATAGAACTATCAGATTGGTATGTGAGCTATTAAGCAGTTTGATGGGTTAACACGTGTCAGAAACTGGGTTGATCAAAAAAAGGCGCTAATGCTCCCAAATTAATCTACATTAATTGCTACCACCCAATCTAGTACTGGATTTTATTTGCAGTTTCATTTAGAATTGCACAAGTCAGCTACACCTGTTCCTTTCCATGATACTTTCATTTCCACCGAATAGCATCGCAATCCGCATGCAACAGCATCTCTGCTGTAAGCAGCGACCTTTTATACTACATTTCCTTTAAAAGTAAATACTTCTTACACAGAACTGTTCCGGGTACTGGAAAATGTTCACTTAAACACACGCTTAGCCGTACTTTTACATTGTAAGTAAACGCATTCATTCACACTCACATCCACACACCCTCACACACACAATCATGTCGACCGACACCCACAATCATTCACATGTCCACCCAGGTTCACAAACACACAGACACACACAAACACAGACACACAAACTCACATCCACCCAGGCTCACACACTCACACATCCACCTAGGATCACACAAACTCGCACATACTCGCACCCAAACAAGTACTCACACACTCCCGCACACACAATTACAGGGGCCAACACATACTCACACTTACATCCATTAAGGCCGAGACACTCACACAAATAGGCTTCCACCCAGTTCCATACAAACTCACACGCAACCAGGCCGACTCACACTTACTTACACGCACACACCCAGCATCCCACACCTACACATTCACATCCACCAAGGCTCCCACACAATTATACATACTGAATTCCATCCAGGCTCACACACACTGTCACATAAGAAATTCCATGCAGGCCCACACACTGTCACCGAAATCCGTACACACTCAAACACACTCAAATCCACCCAGGTTCACACACAACTGCACACATACTCACGTACACTCACACTCAACAAGGACCATACACATTCGCACACACCCACAAAAACCCAGATTCCCTCGCATCCATCAATGCCCACATACACTCACAAACCACTCACGCTCACCCAGGCCAACACACTCAATATCGCTCTGGAAGAATCCTGTTACACTTAATCCTGAGTTACTTTAGTTGATTTACACAGACGGTTTTGCCGGATACTCCACTGCTTTACTATAATATGAACGGTTTTCAAATCGACATGTTACTATTTATAGAATTATTGATGATAGCATAATAGGAGTGTGGGTCACAGTCAGGAGCAACATGGGCAATTGCTTAAAATTACAGATCTTTTAGCTCAATTGGAATTGCACTTGTTGATTAAATCAGCAGGAAAACCTTCTGTTTCAGGGCAGTGTGGAATATTTGGATCATAGGTCGATAGACCATATTTCAAAAGGTCAATTAAATATGAATATGAATGTCAATTAAGTATGAAGTTAGTAGGATTCTGGGTAGAGTACAGATTGCGGTTCTGGGCATTTTATTAAACAGAGGATATACGAGCAGCTGAGAGGATTTTTGGGAGATTCACAAAGATCACTAAAGATGACGCCTGTGATTGACGTTACAGTGATGAGGATCCGCTTCAAACATTGTGGCTGCTCTCGAAAAAGAGACGGTAAAAGAGAAAGGGAAGATAAGCAAATACAATCTTTCAAATTTATTAATTTTTGAAAGAATGATGCAGTGAAAGGCGACACAAGCATATAAAACATCCAGGAAAATCACCGTGAAATATAAAAGCTCAGTCGAATTTTATACCGAGAACATAAGAACATAACAATTAGGAGAAGGATTAGGCCATTCGGCCCCACGAGCCTGCCCCGCCATTTGATAAGATCATGGTTGATCTTCAGACTTAACTGTAATAACCTGCCCTATCCCCATATCCCCTAATTCCTCTATTGTTAAAAATCTATCAGTTTCAGCCTTGTTCATCATTTCAATATCAAAATGTAAAGGAATTCTAAATGGTATTTGAACAGTGACGATGTGAACTTGCAATAGAACAGACAGGAAGGTGGAATTGGAGCATTGGAGTAGATCTGTCCTTTTACGACGAGCACAGTCCCAATGGGAGCATTTCCTTCCTTATGTATTTCCTCAAATTTTTGACAAGTGTTCCACAGATTCTTCTCTAAATTCTATAATTGAGAGGAACAAACAATGAAACAATTGTTTTCTTTATTTCTCTTCCTATTAAAAGTTTGGAAGAATCTGCATATGTTTCTGTGCAGCTTAACAAAGGGATTGACTATGAAACTGAAAATACATTAATAATTCAACAGGAAAAATAAGAATTGTCTCAGGATTCATTTCGCTCTGAAGATATTTGCCCGTATTTGTCCTCACAGCTTTCCCAATCGAGATAATTCTGGAAAGTTTTCAAGCAGTTCAATGTGACAGCCTCTGGCCTACTGCTTCCAACTACATCATTTTCTTCTTCCTGAATATTTTCTACTACCCCACCGTCACTCTACTTGAGGTGAGGAGAGTAAATGCATTGACGCCATGATGTGGTGTAACAGCTGCTTTCAAATACTTGGTCCATGGGAATCCTGATAGTGATGCTCATTGCAACCACTCTGGTGCGAATCTCAACCTGCACCTACAGGCAACGATCCTTGTGACTGGGCTGTGTGTAGGGTGATCAAAATATCCTATCACCCTTACACAGCCTATCACACCTGGCATATGCTCACCTCCTATGGACATGGGCAAGGGGCAATGGTTATTTAAAGATTTAGTGTATCTCTGAGTTATTGTGGACAATATGAAGCATGTCGAAGGCTTTCCGTGGAATGTTTGCGAATCCAGAAATTGCAACAGTTAACAGCCATTTATTTAAAGTCAGTCTTGGATCAGTTCCTTGTATCAAGTACAGGCAACTGGCGGCAGTATTTCTACTGATATCAAAGATTTGCCAAATACATCAAATTTCCAATTGTTACGTAAATAAAATAAATCTCTACCATTTTGTAATTCGGCCCATGAACCCTTTCCTTATTAAGGAGAATCATCCCAGTACGACTCTTCCTTTAACTCACGACTATGTGCAGGCCTTTAGTGTACAAATCCAAGAACATTTGCAGCATGTGATGGAAATCTCGGAAGAAAAGTGTTCTGCCACAAAAGAAGGTTGTTCATCACTGAGATGCCACAGCAGCACAGACTATGGCATGATATAGCTCCTTAGAAGACAAACAGAATGTTGGGCGACAACCTGAACCAGTTTAGGCCCAGATACTCAGAAAGCATCATCAAGATGCACATATGTTTTTCAGGCTGCACCTGTTCAATACTGAGTTTCCAAGGTGAAAGCGCTGGACAAGAGACAGCACAGAGATCGATGACGCTCATTCCCACAATCTGAATGATGTTCTAATATATGTTATGATGCATGTTTTCCCGCTTGACTGTGTGAGTGTGTGTTGGAAAGGGAGATTGAGAGAGAGAGAGAGAGAGAGAGAGAGCGAGTGAGGGAGAGAAAGAGAGGGAGAGAGAGAGAGAGAGGGAAGCTGGTTGGGGAACAGTTTTGCACCAAGAGGTACAGGAATCAGGACTCTGTTTGGGGGAAAAATAATTTCAACATCACTCAGTGGGTTAGACTTGGGGGTGGGTTGGTGGTGGTGGTGATTTTGGATGAAGGAGGGGCAGTGGAGGAATGGTAGTGTGTATTTCTTAGTACTGGCTCCAACAAGTTATGCATCGTCTGGCTTGATCCCTGCTTTTTGGCCGGTTTGAACTATCCTATAAGTTACTGATTTGCCTTGAAGGGTTAACAAGATCTAAATTGAAAGCATCTCAAATGCCTTTCTTGTCCAGTTTGACTCTCTCGTCCTGGCAATGAGGCAGTGTCGCTGGTTTGTCAACAGCAGCGAATAGAATACTAAGGACTGACTTGTCTCAGGAACAGTTGTGATCGAGACCACCACAAAGGCTCAGTATTGAACTTCCCATATATTGTTTCCAAGTATTCCAACCTGGAGTCAGTTCAGGACCAATGAGCACCTTTTCAGCTCCCCTGGTTTCCAGAACCATATCCAAATTATAATGCAACAAATGTATATACAATTGATAACTATGAGACAAATTAACTACAAGAAACACTGGACTGAATACTACTGCCACAAGTACTGCGGTTCAAACAGCGTTTACAAGAAATGATTCATAATCGACGCGTGGTGATCTGAAATGAAGTCATTTTCTGATTTGCAGGAAACACCTGTAGTTTCTGACTCTAATTTAAACCGGTTTCCTCTGAATATGAAACTGACCCGAAACCTTCTGCAACAAACGGTTAAAAAATACTGCACCAAACAACACAGAGTATTTTCCACCCATGCCTTATGACTGTGTAAATAAAATAATTGTCAAAGGATCAGATATGATTCTCCAATGGAAATAGAAACTCTTTATTATTATCAGATTATATTTCATACCACAGCAATTATCTTAACTGACAGTAGACCGTTAGCAATTGCCAGAATATATATATACATCAAACCTTACATTTTCTACACGTTAATGTTTAACTAAAATATCTTGGATATTTAAAGTTTGTGTAAGTGTCATCTTCCCACATAAATTGTAAATTTGAGAATTAAAACAAATATTTGAAACACGTTGCAGGTGAATCAGCACCAGAGAAAATAACAACTTGCAGTTTTTATCATGGAAGCTTTATTGTAGATTAGCAGCTACATGGTTAACAAGTGTGACTGCAGAACAGAACCTTTTCGTTTAATAAAATTAATCTTCTCTAAACGCTCATTTTAGAGACTATTAATACGATGCCAAATTATTCAGGAAATATTATAAATTTCATGTCTAAGAATTTTCAACCAAGCGGTTGGGAAATAAATAAATTGTTTTATTCTGTCAGTCTCAGTGCTGAGGTTACCCTTATTTTTGTCCATCAATATGACTCATTTTGCTCATTCCCCACATTGAGAACCAAACTCAGATTACATGGCTAAACGCATGCCCTAACTGGCTCAGTGTCAGCACTCTCGCCTGTCAGTCAAGAAGCGGTGGGTTCAAGACCTATGTTTGCACGTGGGACTGGTCAAGTCCAGGCCGACACTGCAATACATTGCACGCCTGTATTTTAGGAGATTTGGTCTGTCCGTTTCTCTGGATGTTAAAGATGCTATAACTCTAATTTGATACAAAAGTGAATATCTCAGGGAATTGAGGCCAACAATCCCAAGTTTACAATACCATGTTACCTTGGTAATGATGCTTACATTTATTTAGAGCCTGATCACATCTAAAAGACGTCTCAACGCGCTTCACAGAATATACTGTAAAGTGAATTGATTGTATATGTTGTTGGAAAATGCGATGCAGAAATCCGTATAGCTGTGCCCACATACAGTCGGGGATTGAAATGTCCAAATTATTATTATTATTATTTTATTATTATTATTTTATCTTGATTGTTAATAATATTTGCATTGCAGACTCCATATTATCAGCTTGTTGAGGCATTTCACAGTAGGACAGGAAAAATCTATCTCCTTGTTTCGAATAAATATACAGTCAAATATACAGTCAAATATACACAAATATACAGTCAATTCACTTTACAGTGTGTTCTGTGAAGCGCTTTGGGACGTCCGCCCGACGTGAAAAG